CCCTTAATCGCCTAAGTGGCAATAAGCCCCAGTCTATTTTTCTGATGTCGGGTTTGAACTCTCAGGATATAGAGGTTGGTGAGAAAATTTGGGAAAAGGTATTTTGTTGAGAGCCAGAAGGTGACTTACCTGCAGTGATGGTTATGCCATCGGATTGTCCATGATAGGCGCAGCTGACTACACACTTCAGTAAAGCAACCGACTCGTACAGGGCGTATTTATAATGGCAGCGATTTGGGGTGCTGAGGCTACACTGACTTGCTGAATGAATCTCAGCTCGAATGATAAAACACTTACGATTAGCTAGGAGGTAAATGTGAGTTCTAATTCACACAGATAAAGGTAATGCCATCCCTGTAACAGGCCGTGGAGGCCCATAGGGTTGTGAGACGTCGAGGTTCCCACATCTTCTAGGTAATCGGCTCAGAGATGTAGGTGGGTTTGTCAGCCTTACGCGCCGGCCGCCCTTTGCCCCCCAGCATGATTCCTGGTACTCATTTCTGTTAGAGGCTGAGTCGACCGCAGGGCCATAGTGCAGCTGGAAGGATGAGGTAAATTGAAAAAAACAATTACCTCGTCGAGAATCGAACTGGAGCACAGATTATGTTGAATTCAAGTTAATATTATGTACGTTCCGCTGGCAGTCCAAAAACCACTAAGCCCAAGATGGCTATAAATATATTTAATTTAGAGTTTGTGGAGACACGGTAGCTTAGTTGGTTGAGGCACTATGCTACAAGCAGGAAGGTCGCGGGTTCGAATCCCGATGAGGTCATTGGATGTTTCAATTGACCTAACCCCTCCAGCCGCACTATGGCCATGGGGTTGACTCAGCCTCTAACAGAAATGATCACCAGGAATTTTTCTGAGGGGGGAGGTGAAGAGAGGCCGGCGAGTAAGGCTGACAACCTCACCGCCATCTGTGAGCCAACTGTCTAGAAAATGTGGTAGCCTCAACGTCTCACAACCCTATGGGCCTTCACGGCCTGTTACAGGGATAACTTTACTTCTTTACCTTATGGTGAAGCTACGTCGGTTTCCGCAAATGCCATGGTTGTGTGTTTCAACTGAAGTTCTCAGTCAACGCGCGTGCCTCCAAATTGAGTACATATGGACGGATAATCAGCACACTTTCAACTTAAATGGTCTCTAATTGGGTAATTAAACTAAGTTAATAGCCAAATCCCATACAAACCAACCATATTCCTCCTGCTAAAGATTCTTGGTCTCAGAACAACTGTACAGTATCTTGACAACACAAACCATTCGCGTTCTTACGTATTGCTAACTGGTACACACATCGTGTACCGTTTAAAGGCTGGTAATACATTTCACACTCATCCATTTGAAGAAAGTAACGACAATTTAGGAACATTCTGTCTGGGTACTTTTACCTTCTACTTAAACACAACATGGTTCTTAAGAGCATTCATAACAAGCAGAAGAAAGGACAAAACCTTCTCACTACTGTTGAGTACGCAACAATTTACCCCTTCAGTACATGAACGAAAAAATCCTTCCATCTACTACGCATAGACCTTCGTTTGTGGCTCTACAGCACTGTCGGACTTCGGCTGCATTTTCAGTTTCTTAATCTTTTACACAGTTGGTAGAACTCCTTGGACGGGGGATAGGATTAAGAAACTGAAAAAGCGGCCAAGGTCCACAGGGATCCAGAGCCACAGAAAAAAAAAGAACAATTAAATTATGAATCTGCCTCCTACGTCCCGGATACAGCAGACGAACAAAGAGGTTTAGTCTTTCCCTTGGAACGAATGTAGTAAGAAGAGTAGGTCAAGTCTGTAAGGTATTCTTGAAAGACATTCCACCCATTTATGGCACTGTAGTCTACATCATTCTCTTGAAATGCTTCTAATCTCTACGTCTTTATTACATTTTAATCCACATATGAAACCCAAATATTTAAACTTGTGTAAAGAATGAAAATGGCATATTGCATTTCGCATTTTCAAAAGGACGGAATTGACGCAAATATGTAAAGCAACATTATCATAATTCTATTTACCAAAATCAACAACGAGACATGTTGAAGGAATCCTCTCATGATTTGTGTCACAAAATTAAGTTGTTTTCTTACAGCAATGTAACGTAAAAATTACATAAAAGTGTAATGTTTTGATGGTCACTGCAAAGTTCAGTTGCAATGTTCGTATGTACGCCTTATGCGTTTGCACTTATTCAATAACAACACAAGAATATGAAAAGCGCCTTGTTATATTGCCACCTCGTCCACATGTAACAAATGACAGTGCTCTACACAATGGGCCGAGAACTCGGGCCTCTGAACTGTAATTTAGCGGGATGGGGTTCAATCGCTATTAGCAGCTAGCAACATTTCCTCTTCGTAACAAGAATCGGGTCTGTTCGGATTCTGCTTTGTTCAGGGCCTAGATGGATTACGCAATCTTCTTTGTCATTGTAAGACAAATTCTGGCGAAATGTTCCTGTGCGTTTTCTTTATCTTATTATTATTATTATTATTGCTAGTGGGGTGCGACTAAGTCCCTTGTACTGCGGCCACTTCTGGCCTATTGTACCACCTCCAGATGATAGGTGAGGGTGACTGTGGAACAATAGGTGGAATGAAGATTGGCAGGGGAAACCGAGGTACTCAGAGAAAACCTGCCCCAGCGCCACTTTGTCCACAACAAATCCCACTTGATCAGACCCGATATCGAACCCGGGCCGCCGTGATGAAATTTCTTTATCTTAATCTCTTAACTTCGCACGCGTTCGTATAATTTGTTGCTAATGAAGTGTTTTAGCTATCTGTCTGTCTGTCTGTCTATAGCTCTACAGCCTTTTGTTGGACCTTGGCCGCTTTTTCAGTTTCTGATCCTATAAACAGGCGGTAGGACTTCTTTGACGGGGATCAGCTCATCGAAAGGCTGCTACCTGCACATGGGACAGCGCAAACACAGAATAAAAGTACAGAGACATCTATGCCTCAAGTGGGACTCGAACCTACGATCCCAGTGTTTGAGCGGGCGAAGAGAGTTCACGCCTTAAACAGCGCGGCCACTGTAATCGGTGTTGTAATTTACACATATTGTATTTAACACTTACACGTATACTGTCATTTACGTGGTATGTACACAGAATAATGACCGAGTGAGTGATATTAGAACCACCTATGTACCTAACCACGTGACCAAGTAACATAAAGTCTAACTAATCGATAACGCTGAAACCAGAAGGCATCGTCCGTCGGTCCAGATCTCGGACAGTTCATTTCACTTCTATCCTCATGGCCCATTTCTCTTAGGTCAGTTTTAACATCAACCAGTTCCCTTCCAAGAGGTTTCCACACAAAAATCCTGTCTGTATTTCCGTTATGTCACTCAGCCATATAATTTCCATTTTAAATTATCCTATCAATATTAAAAGAGAAAATGTACGAATATTTTGTTGGAATTCGCATAGATAGTCGCTTTGACAAGGGTGAAAACTAAATAATTTCATCAGTTGAAACAGGCTGGTTAAATAACCAACATATCTTTTTGTATACAAATATTAAGAGAAGCGATGCGCACTACACACACAGAAAACCACGTGGCTTGTCTGCGGCAGCCAAACGTCGGCCATTGATCGGCGCTGCGCATATATCAGCAGAATCGACCCGCGTCCACACTGCCCTGGTCAAGCGCACGACCAAAGGAGAAATTGAGAGACGATTTGACCCTCACCAGCCGCAGGACACGACATTGACGACCGCAGTGAGACACCTGAATTTCTCCATGTCACCTTGAAAACCTCCTCCTGAACCTCAGTTCGTGCCTTGTTCAGGGCAGTTGGAATCGAGGCCCGCCTTTCGACTTGCATACAGTTGCGGAGGGCGGAGGGTAAGAAGTGGAGAGGGTTGCGAAAATTGATTCACAAGCCTTCCCTCTCCTTTACTACCACCGTTTCTCGTTGCCGGCCTGTCCATCTGTCACTCTGTCTCACTCAAACCTTTTGTCTTTTTCATATTTGCAAATCCCCCCCTTCAGCCCCTACCGTTCTGCTACTACAGCTGCGAAGCCCGGGTGCGCAGACAGACACACTGCCAGTTGTGAACCATACCGCCAGAAACATCACACTTACGGCAAAAGAATTAACCACTACAATCAGGTATGGCTTTCCTTACTTTTACGTCATTTAACAAAGCATGCATCCTCTTAGAAGTTACCGTAAACTGAATCCTAAAGTAAATTCAAAACGTGACATCGAGATGTGAACACATGTAGAATATAATCTAACATAATAATTTTAGGGGTAAACAGCCCCAGATACTTAGTTCATATGTTCTTATTTATTAAAACGCATTCAAAGATTAATTTTTATGGAGTGTACGATAACGTATGGGTCACTGTGTTTAGTAAACACCGGTACAAGGTCACGTGATGAGGGCCGTGACACACCTCGTTTAGGGTTTTAGTTCATAATGTAACACATAAGGAAGCTATATCCTGGTGTGACTAACAATATAAACGACTTCAAGATGCAAACGTGTTGTTTAGCAATAAGAAGTAAATGAAGAAACGACATAAAAACTAAAAAAACACGCGGTTTTTTCGAAATCCATTACCTACGCTTTGTGCAGCTCATTTCATATTTTGAAGACGTCCCAGAGGGATGTGATCTCCAGTGCTCCTACGTGCACAGGAAGTTAGAACTGCGGTTACAACGAACTTGCTATCTCGCTTTTCTTCAAACTGTAGTACTGCTCAAGATGAGGTAAGTGAATCTGGTTATTTTCCCATGATTTCTCGAACAAACTGTATATAGATTTTAATGTCATGAGGGTAGAGAGACCGGAGTATTAGGTTGACCACTCACCTCTGTCTAGTGCTGAGGTTATGAATTCCTGGAGCTTCAAATCCACTCCATGGCATAGAGTGATATTCAGACGCAGAAAGAATACATTTCGTTCTTTATTGGAAGCAAATTACTCGATTTTATTAACGTTTTCCTGACACAAAAATGGACAGAGACAATGCTTTAAAATACAGTAACAGTTTATTGACACACACGTTCTATTCAATTACTTTTCTTTTCTGAGATCCTCAATTGTCCATGTTTTTCTTGCAAATTTTACTGAAAAGACGAGTGGGTGTTACTTATAACAGTTTACAGGCTAAATTACTAGATGTACCTGCTGTGGAGGAGAGTCTGTCATGAGAATGACAGCTGCTAAGCTGGTCGACACATTCCCTGATTTTTTTGGGTTGAACACAGTACTGAACCTTTGGGTTCCGTAAAAGTAGAGCAAATTCTTGATCAGCTAAGCGAATATTAGTTTCTCATGAAGGCCTCTGTACCACAATACCAATACGTGGTGGTGTAAATACTACAGCTGCTGGTATAGAGGCTAATTTTATACACAGATTTTGGCATATTTTGCTTTCTGAGAACTTCCAGCTTCCTATGTTCTTGAATGAGATGGCATGATAAGCAATAAATGGTGAGCGAGTAAAGATTTGTATGAAAAACTGCTTTAGCCTGTTTCAGCATACTGACTCGAACAGTCTGAATAAAATCGCCCATATCTCAGGACACCTGGCAGCCTGGCTCAAATTTGAATATATTTCTAACGTTTTGGTGCTAAATGAACGTGTTTAATTGAAATATATGACTCATTTGTGTATTCTTTACTTAAGGACGCTTTCCACATGTCAGACTGTATGCCCATAACGTAGAATAGTAGAGCGATAAATGAATAACGAGCTGCAAAAGATGATAAAGGAAGACACCCTAGCCAAATTCAAGATAATTTTGCTGGCATCTTAATGGAGGGGTGAGAAAAAAAAATCCTCAGTTATAACCGGTATACGGACGAACATGTGAACCAGGGGCAACTTACATTGAAACATGAGCACTAGCCGCTTGGTCATGATTTTCGGTGAGATAATACTGCTAAAATTAATCTTAAAAGCCAAGTTTACTCGTAAAGGTATGAAATATAGGTCATTTCAGTTGACTCAGAATAAGACCAAATGGCAGAAGTTGAAATTATGGCAATGAATCTTCATAGTCTTGCAACAGGGAACTGCTTGGCCAGCGAAATAATTATCAACTGTACATTTAAGTCCATTAATTTATTCTCTCTATGCTGGGCAAATCCCACTCGCTTAAAGCGTATTTTCGCCCCCACCTACTACTCGTACTAATTCCCACGTCAGTATATTGCGGTCCTAGCACATGCGCGAAACCTAATGCGCTCCATATAATGAGTAAAAGAGCAGTGACATTAGTCTGTGGCAAAATCTGGTTCAGTAGCTGAACGTCAGTGAGCACTTTATATGTCGGTGCATCTCAGAACCATGGCTTCGAAATCAAGCTGATAGCAGGGGACACACAGGTGTGATGGTGAACACTCCGAGCAAAAGTACAAAATATTGGTGCTGGAATTGTGCAGGCCATGGTTTGCTAGCATTTGTAGAGTAAATTTATTTTGCAGTGGGGATATTGTTATTAGGAGAATATATAAATGCAAAGTAGTTAATTTTTTCCTTCTTATTGCCTTCTTTTTTCTCCGTTATTTCTTTACTTTCTCATTTCTTACACAAACAAACAAAGGAAAATGAAACGTCAGAAATGAATTCAAGTCATGTATATTTTACTTCTGTGCCAAATGTTGAACAAAAAGTATGTTCACTGGTCCTGCGACATCATCGGTCGGAAATCACCATAAATTTCATTGAGCGTAGGACGTAATTCGTTGTGTATTACGCATGATAGTATGAGGAAACGTGCTGAAATATCATTAGAAAATTTCTAGGAACAAATCATCAGAAAGAAAGGCCGAAGAGTAATTTGAGGTCTCAGATAAAAAGGAAATTAACTTTTACATGTAGATTCATTGACGTGTATTTCTGAGCTACGAATTTAGATCTGTAGTAAGCAAAGGGTCATCATTTGAGCTCACATTCATCTAATGACGCTTCATGAACTGCTGATTTCTACATGGAAATAGGACTGTTGCATGAATAAGCGATGGCAGGGGAAGATATTCCGGTTAATTTACTTTCAGTATTTGCATTGGACAGATTCAGAAACTGCCGACAAAATCGATTAAGATGCTCAGTTTTTTTTACCTAAAATTTCTTTTAGACCTTCTGCAGAGATGAGCGGACAACAGGGATAAGGATGAGAAAAGGATTGGCCCAAGTCCCTGTTTGTTTGTGATAGTAAGATCTATCAATTGTTGCTAGTATCTCCTAGACATTTACGGGTATTCTGCGGCCTCTTCTCAAATTGTAACTTAAAAAGCGGGAAACTACAGATAGCCGGAAATGGAATAGATTTCAGCGGCACAGGTTGCGAACGTCCGGAATAAATTCCCCTGGCTCATGACAGGAACCAGTGGCGAGCTCTTGTGGATGCGGTGTTGAAACTTCGGGTTTCATACATCGGAGGAACTTCTTGATGAGCTGAGCGAGTATTAGCCTTCAAGAATCCTGTTTCATAGCGTCTGGCAGTATGGAGCAAAAAATGAATATCATTATTGTATGAAGCAGACACGACAGTTACGCCTCACTACAGAGCATTAACTGCAGTGAGGGTTGGCGATGGGTGAGTCGCCAATCCAGCGAACCGTAAAGTCGCTAGAGAATTTAACAAAATAAAGCTACAGATATAAGAGGCTTTAAACTGAACAGTTTTTAGGACAAATATGCATGTAAAACTTGTTATTTCACACTGTAAAAATGATGAGCGAGCCCGGCAGGAGACATAACTCACAACAGGCCTATTCTGCTGGTGCAAATATTGTCAGCAGACTGTAAGCTATCTGTGGCTCGTAGTGACATTGTAAGATTTGAGGCTTTCACGGCGGTGACTATGAAGAAAGCAGTCTTCTGGGATTTGGCACCGTGTATATGTGGTGTTAACCGACGTTTCGGAGGAACGTATCGCCCCCTCTTCAGGGTAGAAGAAAAAGTATAAGAAATCTGCAAGCGACAACACCGTGAGAACCGGTAAAGCAATCTGCTTTACCGTTTCTCACGGTGTTGTCGCTTGCAGATTTCTTATACTTTTTCTTCTACCCTGAAGATGGGGCGATACGTTCCTCCGAAACGTCGGTTAACACCACATATACACGGTGCCAAATCCCAGAAGACTGCTTTCTTCGTAGTGACATTATTGCCGAAATATATATGAGACAAAACTGTCGTTACTAACATGTGAATTTCGAACAGTGTAGTCATGGCCTACGTTATAAAATCCAAGGAGAGTATTAAAGCACAATCATGTATCCATTTTCTATACGAACTACATTTTTGCTCGTCAAAAGTCATTGGATGAAATCTGAAATAATGCATAACTGATAATTCATACGCTATGCACAGAGATGTGTTGTGATAGAGGGTGATATTCATACTGTTAACTAGCTTAATGGAACAGAGTGTATCTTAAGAAACTGACATTCGATCAGATGATGAGTAAATCCCACGTATTTACGGAACTAATAGCTTCATTACTACGTAGGATTTGCAATTCTTGCAGTGCTTGTTATGAAGTCACATTCTTGGGTATATCGCTGTGTAGTCCGTTGAAAGTCAACCGACGTTTCAGTGGACTACAGGACGATATATATCCCAGAAGGCTGAACTCGTTCGTTGCCATATACGAAATTTGAGGTTCTCATGGCAGTGATCACGGTCTTCTGGGATGTGACGCCGTGTAGCTACGCGCCGTCCTAGAAGGCATTAATTTTAAAGTTACTTATCGTGTTCAAAAGAGATCGCCCCCCACTCATTTAAATCAAGTCAACATTCTCACGCCATTTTTCTTTATGCTCCATTTCAACGCTGTCCTCCCACCCAAGCCTATGTTTTCCTGACGCTCTTTTCCTTTCAGACATTTCAACTAAGATGTATCCTCTTTTCATTCCTTCCAAGAGTATCACATGACACCCCAGCTTACCCTCCTTGATTTGGACACTACAATAATGCTAGGCGAGCAGTAGAAATTTTTAAGTTTCTCATTATGCAGATTTCTTCGTCCTCCAATTACTTCGTCTTTCTTAGGTCCGGATATTCACCTCAGCTCTCTGATCTCTGACACCCCTAGATCGTCTTTATATAACTGAAGTTCATCGGTATGCCAAGATGTTGCTTCACCTCAAATCCAATCACCCACCTGCTTTCTTGCTGATGTGTCTGATCCAGCTTGTCGAGCGGATAATCACCGCGACTCTCCATTTCTGCAGGTAGATGTCGGAGAAAATGTACTACTGGGGGGAAGAGAAGGAGTCGGTGGACCCCGACCAGACGTTTATAGAGTTCTCAGCGAAGCCGGTGGGACCCACGGCGGCCGTGGCACCTCCTCTCCATGTAAGCACAACACCGGCAGGTCGGCAGACCACAGGGGCACCAGAGGACGCTGACGAGGAGCGCGGTGGCTGGGGAAACAAGCTGGACTTCTTGTTCTCTTGCATCAGCGTGTCCGTGGGGCTGGGTAACGTGTGGAGGTTCCCCTACCTGTGCTACAAAAACGGTGGAGGTACGTGAAACCTTTGCCATATCTCTATATTATGTTCTCAGTACCAGGAAGTAAAGCCTCTGTCACGTGTCCGGGGTTCCGTGACTAATATTAAGGGGTTCTGGATTGGATGATTAGATTTATTAGGACGCCTTCTGTTACAGTCAGCTCACAATCGATGACTGCATTAGAATCGCTTCATTCCTTAGTGGACTACGAGCGTCTTCCCTTCTACGTGACTGACTTGGTTCTGATTTACGAATCCGTCACTCACGAATCACTAAGCACGAATGACGAATGAAGATTCACTTACGACCGAATCCTAGAACTCCCTTACGAATCACGACTCACGAATGCCCTCTCTTTTACAGCTCGGGACAAACGGAAGAGAGGGCACCACTTCGAACAGTTCGTCTCTTATTATCTGTTTCATCCGTTGCTAAGAAACGTGTGTCGATCTAGTAGCAAAGCTTTGACTTCTACAAGCGAATTCCTTGCAACGAAACGCGCTTTTAGCAAGCCGTTGTCTAGTAACTGACTATTCTGTCACAATATTATCAAAGTAGCCGGTACTAAAACGGAATTTTTCTTAAACTGAAAAATATTGACTTAATGCTCTTACTTCTCTCTAGCATAACAAATCTTCAACAAACTCCTATTTAATATTTATAACTGTGTATGTTACATTGATCTCTTCCCTATACGTTTAACAAACTTAATATGTATCTGTTATTAAGCTTTCACGGTGGTTAATTATTGGTGGTGATTCTGCTTTTGGGTTGTTATACCGTGAAGCTGAGGTCGTTGATGCCAATGTTTCAGAGGTCGGAAATCTCGTTCACAACCGTATAATGGAATAATCGAAGAACAGACATTAATTTTTTACATAGATAATGTAAAATTATACTGCTAGAATAAAATTCAATTTAGCACGTGGTTTAGCTCCTTCGTAGATGGTCCTAAGATCGCATCCTGGTCAACTTATTTTAATTTCATGCAACTATAAATCCGTTCCAGATTATTGTTACTACTGCATTTTTTATGAATTTACTACTTATACACACTTTTTTTTTCTATGTAGAATTTGTCGAACACAATCTTAAACTTTCGTATCGTCATGTGCATTGACTCTTGGCAGAGGCCTATAATCAGTATTGTCATGGGTAGGGATGACATATAAACCGGGTTTTTGTTGGATGGCTGATTTCGTTGCAACTTACACATTCATACAGTTCGAGATTACAGGTAATACAGCGCTATCGCTATTCTACACAATTTCCAGTTCATCGTTACACACGCACTAGGGTTCTCAGTCTTCAATAGTCGTATCCTGGCAACGGACTTATTACAGTCTCACTGTAACTTGAAATCATAAGTGAGGTCTTCTTCGCACAGTTTAATTCCCTTCTTGCCATTTCTGCGGCTGCCAATTCCGAGACTAGACTTGGCTACTCTCGGCTGTTGTCCTATACTCCGTCCCGTCTCAAGTTCAAGTTCAAGTCACATTGCGACTGACGGTCAGTCAGTCAGTAAGTCTTGGTGTCGAGCCCTATCTGGGGCTCATGACCAGATATTTATATTACTGTTTCAGACTTGCGGTCTTGCTTTTGTGGGGCGTCCTCTCTGACGAGTGGACGGGTCTGTCTTTTGTACATGCTGCTAGCCTTTGGCAGCGCAGTCTTTCTCAGGTCCAAGTCCCTTGAGACTAGTGACCTTATTTTGCTGTCTCAGATGTGCAACTTCCCTTTTCGTCGCCTCCTACGACTCGCAGGGTCACGGTGGAGGTATTCTACCCCGCCTCCACACAGGGGTTGTCTAACGATGAAGGTTCTCCCAGTTCGGCTCTCCCGTCCCGTCTTCTGACTGTGCCCTCTTATAAGTCATCGGTACGGGCCCCACGGAAAACACTGTATTCTATTGTCAAGAATGCGTGTTTACTGGTCCGTTACCTAGTAATGGATGTCGTTTTGTTGCGTGCGCGTGTGTTGAGGGAATGTGGTTACCGATCCGTTGCCTAGCAATGGGTATACAAGTCACAGTAATGATTATACAATATATATTTGCGATATACTTCAGTACCAAATTTAACATACCTATTTCCAGTGGTTCATTAGTTACTGCCATCAAAGTGGAAATTAAACAGCCCATAGGTTTCATACAATACTCCAATACGTTGTTCTACATTCTACGAAAGAATACTGAGAAGACTATTAAATTTGTTGATGATTTGTCAGCGTACATAATTTCTTGAGCCCAGATCAATTGGCGCTAATGACGAACCGCTCCACAATTTCGCGCGTTCGCCATGTAACTGCAGGTTCTATGGAATTAAAAATTATGACGTAGGAGTGAACTCTAACGACATAACGTTCATAACAATGTTTGTGAAAATCGATCAGCTGCTTCATCAGTTGAACTGGGACACACAGCATATCTCATAAGCCCAGTAGATTTTCCTCTCAAGTAGGGAAAGCAGGCATAAACTCAGGAGAACGGGCGTTTTAGTTAGTGTTTCTGGGAACGTTAAGTTTAATGTCTCTGCTGTTTATTTTTCTTGAGAATAACAGAATTTGTGATTACATACAGTGTGACTTCCGCCATTCTGATTAGGTTAGAAACAGATCGTAACTGAACGCGAAGCAGAATGAGTACTGCAGAACCGTGCAGATCGCTTTATAAAATCTGAAGAGCCGCCCCATAGCTCAAGCGGTTAGTCGCTGGCTTCCACCGCGGCGGCCCGGGTTGCATCCCGGGTCTGGTCAAGTGGGATTTGTGGCGGACAAAGTGGAGCTGGGGTGGGTTTTCTCCGAGTACTTCTGTTTCCCCTGCCAATCTTCATTCCACCAATTGCTTCACAATCACCCTCACCTATCATCTGGGGCTGGTACAATAGGTCAGAAGTGGCCGCAGTACAAGGGACTTAGTCCCACCCCACTAGCATTAATAAAAATAATTAAAATCTTAATTTAACCCATCCTCATTGTGCTAATTACAGTTAGCATTCGAGCCTCCTGGTCCTAATGTTTGTTATACTCTTCGCAGCACTATCATATGGAAAAGAGTGGGGCATAAATCGACAGAAGCTAACAACTTGTAGAGTAAACAAGGAAAAGGCACATTGCATGGGAAATGGCAGCAAATGGAATGCATTTTCTCTTTTTATCTGAGGCAATTCTTGTCTTTCTGTAGTGGGACGAGGATGTGGCTTGCCTGTGCCAGAGCCACCCACGTCACGTCGCGTGCCAATTCACGTGACACACTCAGTCCTAGGAAACTGAGAATTACTATGAACTATGAATGACTCCTATTAAAGTGAATCACAATTACACCATTTCGTAAGTATTTAAGGGACTTTCATTCTAGTTGCTGAAGCTATTTATTGGACCGCCTATGTGGTCTAGTGGTCAGAGTTCCTGGATACAGATCCAGAGGTCTGGGTTCGATTCCCGGCGCTACCAGACATTCTGAGAAGTATGGGTCTGGTACTGGGTTCACTCAGCCTCGTGAGGATAATTGAGGAGCTATTTGAATGGAAAAGTAGCGGCTCCGGTATAGAAAACAGAGATTAACGGCCGTGGGGATTCGTTGCGCTGACTACGTGACATCCTCTATCCACTAAACTTGGAACTAACTTCGCCGACAAGCGGCGGTCGCTCGGTCGGTATAGTTCGCTTGCGGATTAAAGCCACGGAGTTTGTTTGTTTTGGTCTGTCACTATTTACAATGTCAAGTAGAACAGAAGATATTTCTCAAGTGACTGAAAGTACATTAAACAGTTTTGAGCAAAACTCTGAAGCCTTCTCGAAAGCTGTAGATGAATCAGGTCATAGATGTGGCAGACAGCGTGGCCAGCGATGTTCAACACAGCTGTGGATCCCGACTTCAGTGCAACAGAAGAATTAACCGCATAATGCGATATGAAAGAATGAGGTTGTACGAACGAGTCATTAGGAAAACTTCAATCTAAACATCAACAACCTCCGTTAAGTCATAACAGACGTAGCTCCGGCGATGACAAGAAAAAAATGCATTAAGAGCATTGATTGCCGAAGAACTGGAACACTGCACTAAGCCGAGCTTCGGAACTGGTGACGGGCCATTGCATCATACACCAACAATCTCTTTGTTCCCAGGCAGTGAAGATGTACGATGCAATATGTACAGTTAAATCTACTTAATCTCGGTCAATCACAGTTTCAAAATCTTCTTATTGACCTTGAAGCAGACAATGGAGGTGTGTTGCACCACTCAGGGGTATGATGACTAGGTCGAGTAGGAGTCCTTAACGGATCTATGAATATGATAGGAACGCCATTGCTGGAACGTTCTGATGATGACTGGGTTTCGGACTTCTTTCCTGATTTATATGCGACAGCATCAAAATGACATAAAACACCACTCGAGGAAACATTGATTAATAATTAACATGTACCACTATATTAAGAATTTTTAGTGAAAATTCAGAAAAGAAACCAAAATACAGCAAACTTGCTAATTCGAAACGAGAGAACTAAATCTGTGTCTTTCAACGTACCAAAATATCCAACGCAGATTGGGGTTTTGAGGGGAGATGACGCATCCGGGCTCCAAGGTACGGAATGCTGTTTCGCCCTTTAAACAGATGTTCGAGCAAGGGCTGAGATATTCCAAACGGAACTCATCGATTTACAGAGCACAGAAGAAATTAAATAAGCATTTATAAATGTAACTCTTATGGAATTTTAAAACTCAACCTCCCTAAGGCCAATTTTCTTCAGCTTTATAGGAACGCCATTAATACTACATCGTTTGGGAGTACACTGAAACCTCATTACTTCGGAATTCGAGATAATTCGGACAGCTGTTTTTTGTTTTTTTTTTTGCGAAACAAAACTTGGGAGCCATCATCAGTTTTGTGGACTCTAACCTACAACACCACAAATAATCCCTAATGCTGAGGGAAATGAGGCAAAAAGTAGAAAAGAGGAATACAAACAAAAATAAGTTCGTTTTTAAACACGGTCCCAATAACACTACGTGCG